CATGGGGGAAGGGAGAGGGGAGAAGGAGCCGAGCTCCCTGCCAAGAAATGTGACTTCGCACGAGCGCGAGCAGAAGAGTTTTGGCACATGGCGGAGGATGGAGGGCTGGGCAGGCGTGGCTGGGCCAGTTTACATCCCCTCCTGCTGGGAACACGCACACAGGGAAGCAGGGCTGAAATAAACACGCTCCAGCAGCCACAGCCTGCAAGTCTGGCCCGGGGCACCTCTGGGTGGTGTGTGGGGCTGGTCTGTGCCACTCGGGACAGCGGTGTCACCGCTCTCTGCTGCTCCATGCCTCGCTCCTCTGCCCTCAGCACACAAACAAAACTGGCTTGGGTTCATTCATTTGTTCCTAGCACAGCTAATGGGTTCAGCATGGCACTGGCCCCGCAGGGCCCACGCGGCTTTTGGAGCTCTTGCACAATCTGCAGCTCTGTGTGTGCAGGGAGGGCAGCCATGACCAGAAGCTGCTTCCCAGGATCTGCAGCTGTCACAGGGTGGCTTTGCCCATCAGGACAGAGGTCTGCTGGTGTGAATTTCAGGGGTCAGATCACAGAATGGTTTGGCTGGAAGGGACCTTAACGCTCATCTTGTCCCAAACTCCTGTCATGTGCAGGGACACTTTCCATTATCCCAGACTGCTCCAAACCCTGGCCAGCCTGGCCTTGGACACTTCCAGAGATCCAGGGGCAGCCACAGCTTCTCTGGGCACCCTGTGCCAGGGCCTGCCCACCCTCACAGGGAAAGATTCCTTCCCAATATCCCATATAATCCTTGCCCTCCAGTTCAAATCCATTTTCCCCTGTGCCCAGAAATGCTTCTGTGTTTGACAAGAGCAGTCAGAGCTGGTCTGTGCTCACATGGAGCAGAAGCAGAGCACCCATCTCGACCCAAGGATATATTAGGGGGGGATGTATGGATGGGATACCCAAGGATATATGACTTTGGGGGAAAAAAGTCCCAAGACTCAGCATGGAGGCCTTTAAATGCTTAATTTAGACATCAAATCCAAAAATAAAATGGTGAACGCTGTGAAAGAGGGTTATGACATCTCTTATTCCAGGTCCATCTGGAGCTGGATTTGTACCGAAGCTTGCAGGTATGGTTCTTGTTACAATTGCTGAATGTTGTTCTGATTACTGAATTTTGTTCCATGGCAATGATTTCAATAGTAAAACCTAAAAGCCTCTCATTTTGAAAAGTCCATACGGCGAGACTGGAGATGGCAAAAAAAATTCCAGTAGAGGAAAACCACCAGTGAGTTGGGCATGATGTCAGCAAGCATTTTTGTAGTGTTTTTTGTAGGGGAGTGGGTGTGCTGAAGGTTTGTTTCCAGTTGGCTTTGCTGCTGTGTGTTGAGATCCATTGGAGAGGTAAACGTGGAATCATTAAGATGGGAAAAGAGCTTTAAGATCCTCGAGTCCAGGTATGAACCATTGGGTCCTCATGGTGACAGAGTTAATTCTGGCTATCAGGAGACTTTAAAACTCTTTTGTTTGCTCTTCCCAGTGGGGGAGACACCCAAAAAAACAGCCCCCGAACATCTCTGCCCCCCCAATCCCTCTGCCTGTTCAGACACTGCCATCACATCTCATCCTCCTCCTGCCCCTGCCACTGTTTTGCCGCAGGGACGAGCCCAGATATTTTTGGCACTGGTGCTAATGTTCTTGAAATGCCTTTGAGCTGATAGCAAGCCAGCCAGTCAGGGATTTGTGGGATCCTCAGCGACCTTGTTTCAGAAGCAAATTGTCAGCGTTTCAACCTGTTAATTTGCTTTCTTCCAACCCGCCTGAAGGGCTTGGGAAGCAGGGCCCTGGTCAGCTGAAAGGGTGGCAGTGTGCTTTCAGCAGGGATGGATATTAGTGCTGGGCTGTGCTGCTGCTGCTGATGGCAGTGTGGTGAGTGCATCCCAGCCCCTGTGTTAAGCACTTGCCGGTGTCATGGCTGAAATCAGGTGACAAGCCATTGGCCATCAGACCTTCTGCACTGTGACAGGCGAAATCTGTGCCTGGTGGCAGCAGAGGTGCTCTTCTGACTCCACCTCGGGGATGCTGGAGGAGAGGATGGGTTTGACTTTTTTTTTAAGGAATCATCTCCTGGTGTGGTGTTGCTTTTCCCACTAAAGATTTTTCCTGAGTGTGTAGCCTGGATTCTCCTTGCTGTCATTGTGTGGAGACACAGAATGTTTAGCGATTAAGTCTGAATTAGCCCAAGGACAGGGTTCCTCTCACCTGGAAACAGCTGTGCCTGACAGAAGAGGGAATGGCTTTGGGTTGGAAAGGACCTCAAAGGTGCTAGCCCCTGCCATGGGCAGGGACACCTTCCACTGTCCCAGGTTGCTCCAAGCCCCAGTGTCCAACCTAGCCTTGAACACTTCCAGGGATCCAGGGGCAGCCACAGCTTCTCTGGGCAGAGATTTCCTCTCTCTGACAGTGAGCAGGATTAGGTTCTTTAAGACTATCCACCCCAAGAAAGCCAGATCCTTATTCCTAGTGAGGGTTGTTCTAAACTCTGGAGCAAAGATAAAAAGGGAAGTTCAGTGAGCACATAGGGAAATGTGAAGCTTCAAGTGTGCCTTGGGCTGAGACACATCCTGTGTTCTCCTGCCTCACTCAGACTTGCAGAGAGAGATCTGACACCTTGGTAAATTCTCCAAGGCGTCCCAGCACGGCCTGTGCTCTTGGGGCTGCTGAAATTCACCCAGGGCCCTCGGAAGGGGAAGATGTTTACAACGGGAAGCATTTAAATGTGAATTTCCAGCATCTTTATCCCCAAGCCCTTGCATATTCCTGGAGTGAATGTATCCAAACAGCCCCACTGCTCCCCCAGATCCTGTGGCATGACGTGGAGCCTTGTGGCACAGTGGAGATTACGTTTCACATTTTCCCAGGGCTTGCAATGTCCATTTAAAATAAAGGCAAGGCACTTGGAAATTATTTTGGGAGAAGCAGTTTATACCCCCCATTCCTCCTCCTGATGAAGATCCTCACTGAGCTGTTAGGATAGGATGGATAATATTTTTTTCTTCCCTTACTGTGACTTGCAAACTTTTAACAATTTCACGAAGCAAAGTGGAAATTGGTTAACTCCCCTCCACACAGCCTCTTTTTCCTCGGTTTTGTTTTGTTGTTTGTTTTTCGAACTGTGATTGAAACTACGAAAGCTTTGGCTGGGCTGTCTGTAATGGTGTTCCGATGTTTTCGTTGGCATTTGAACCAGAACGTCTTCCTTGGAAACCCCAGTGAGCTGCGGAGGGGAATACACCCCTGGAACGATAAAAGCTAAGCACTTGCCCACTAATAAATTTAGGTGTTAATGCCTTGTTTTTGTGCTGTTTGGTTGCCATAGAGACGAGGGCCCTGAACTAATGGGTTTGTTGTGTGAAGTTCAAAACACATTTCCCAAACGCTCCTCAATGTTTCTCTTGTTACCTCTCTGCTGCTTTTTTTTTTTTTTTTTTTTTTTTTTTTTTTTTTTTAATTTTTTTTTTTTTCGTGCCATGGAGTGAAAGACTTTGGAAGCGAAGCCATTTCAGGATCCCAGGGAAGGAGGCTCGCTGCAGGTTTTGGAGGGCTGCTGAGAGAGATGCAGGATGTGCATCTGTTTGTGCCCCTGCTTGTGCACAGAACACTCATCAGGAGCATTTTTCCTTGGATGGACCGAAAACAAACCACCACAAACAGGTGGTTATTGTTTGGAACAGTGAATATTCCCTTACACCCTCTAACAGGCTGCCCCTGGATCATCCCTGGGAGTGTTCCAGGCCAGGTTGGACAGGGTTTGGAGCAACCTGGTCCAGTGGAAGTTGTCCCTGCCCGTGGTGGGGTGGGGGGAAAGGAGTTTAAAGGTCCTTTCCAACCCAAACCATTCCAGTATTCCAACACTCTTCAGTGCTACCTGGGAGCTGTCATTCCAGGGAAATCACTCCATGAATCCATGTGTGGTCCTCCTGGGAATTTGGACTTGGACTCAGATCTTTTTTTGCAGAGATCACTGGAAATCCATGAGTGTTGAGGGTTTTTGTTTTTGTTTTTTTTTTGTGTGTGTGTCAGAACCTCCCCACTCACAGCACCAACCTGCACTTTCATTTAGAAAGGCCAAAAAAATAGCAAAGCCCCAAAGCTCTGAACAAGTTTTTATTTTTCAAAGCTTAAATGCTTGGTGCCTGCCAAGAACTAAACTGAGAGGTTTGTTGCCAAAATATCCCTTTCCAAAAACCTTCTTTTTAAAGTTCCTGCTTGCTTAAAAAAAAAAAAAAAAGAAAAGAAAGAAAAGAAAAGAATAGAGGGACTATTGCTCAAGCAATTTTACAGGAATAACTCTAAAGTCAGTGGCTTTCCCAGGACCAAAGGCAGAGCCATTTTGCTGAAGATGAGAATGGAGTGAACCATGCAGGAGGACAGTTCTGGATGCCAACAATCTGGCTGCTGATCCTTGAAGTGTGCACATGAAGTTGGCTTTTTCTTTCCCAGCTGATCCTGCTGAAATTAGGGAAAAGCAGTGCTGGGTTAACAGTTGGAGTTGAAGATCTCCGAGGTCTTTTCCAACCTTAAGTGTTCTGTGGGTGTTTGGAGCTGAGGAGAGCTCAGGGTCTGTTTAAATCCCTGCTGGTTTGGTGAGGGGGGATGTGACACCCGTGCTCCAGATGCCACAAGCAGCTCCTGATGCTGCCTCTCCCTCCCTTCCCAAGCCTGTGGTGGCAGCACCTTTCCTGGGATGGGAGGGAATTTATTTTGGAGGCAGAGAGCAGAGGAAAACTGGCTTGTCAGAAAACTTGGCTGGAGCTGTTTGAGTGAGGCTGACTGGAAAACAGCTGTGCAGAGACTGCACTCTGCACCGCCAGGGTGGCCTGGCAGCAAAGTCTCCTTTTCTTTTCTTTTCTTTTCTTTTCTTTTCTTTTCTTTTCTTTTCTTTTCTTTTCTTTTCTTTTCTTTTCTTT